GCAGTAATGCTTATCGTACCTATAAGACAATACTCAGAACATTTTAAAGAAATTCCTTAAAGTTTGCTCGACAAGTTCCACATTGCAGTAAATAATATGTAATGAAATGAATCTATAGTCTCTGTAAGTCTGACTAAGATGTCAGACACTAAGCCACGTATAGACCTGTTGCTCTCTAATGACAACAGATAAAGTAAAGTGCATATGATAATTCTCAAGACATCTTGAAAGAAATTCGAAAAAGCAAATACGCTAAGTTTTGTGTTGCAGTAAATAATATGCAATAAAAGAGATCTACATAGGCTTAGTAAGTAATAGTATGATTTAAGCTGTATAACTCAGACAGAACCATCAAGCACTTTTCACAAATTTTTCTATGCAGACCTTTCCTTTTTTTCATAAAAATAAAGGAGAACCAAAATGTATATTCTTACGGAAGAGACAATAAAACTCTATAAAGTAGATTCTATACTACTTTTTATTGACGCAAAAGGGTTTAGAGACCTACTTTAAAACCAGAAGGGAAAAAAAAGACCCGACGGTCGTAGTGTCACATCCCTTAACAATAATAACAATAATAATAATAGAATAGACCTTAAAGGTATGTAAGAACCCAACCTTAATATCGCGTAGTTCTAGTACACAGGCATGATGCTATCAGAATGATCAAACAGACGACGAAATACGCTATTAAACTAAGATTACTGATATTGATTGGTTTGTGTGGAATATGAATATGTATGTTTTTTTGTAATGAATATGAATATCCTAACAATATGCACTTCAGTTATATCGTTTATTAAAACAATGTAGTAAAAGCATATAAATGAAACTGATAGATATAAATGAAATATGTGAAAAAATTTTATATTAAATCCAAACAATCTAAATAATTCATTCAATAACAACAACAACACATATGTTAACAAGTTTCTCGGACTAAACAGATTTGTAATCAGATTAAGCATTAGCTTATATATGTATATTTTTTATAACTACCATCTTTCCTATCTAAAATTTATATACATTTTAAATAGTTACTTTTTTAACACACTCATTCATGCTTTCTCGAAAATCTGAAGACGAAGGTACTAAGATCTAAAAGAAAGGTCTAACTAACAAATTTGGATTTAATACAATGTGATAATACACATAACTCAATAGAATAACAAAATTGAGAAACATTCATTCAGACTTTCAGTAAAAAAGGTGTTTGTTTGTTAAATCACAAAGATTGGACTACATTGGTGATTTAACAGAATGAATACCTGAGAAACTTCATCGAAAATTGTGAAACCATCTTTACATAGTCATATACTCCGCTTTTGTAACATCAGATGCATGGTACAATAGCGGAACTCGCGAACAATTTATTTTCATGGTATAAACTAAAGATTGATGGTTTTGAGAATGCTTTGTCTACTGAGGTCTGCCTAATTATTATCATCGTTATAATTACTATCAGTATTGTTTTTGATTTAAAAGTGTGTAAAGTTTTTTAATATTAATATTAAATATTATTAAAAACACAAATTCAAATTTTATGTCCAATTAAAACTGAACAGTATCTAAAAGTTAAAGACCTAAAGCTCACTGTGATCTATTATAGCTCTGATAACAATGATGATTCGGCGCATTTAAGAACCTTGCGAACCTTTGTCTATATAACTTTTTTTTTTTTTTCTAAAACTTCATTTTATTATATACAATCTATTCTATGTATGAATAATAAGTACTACTTATGGCAGTCTATATAACTTTAAATTATAAATAGTATTGGATAAATTGATTTCAATATATTGAAAGAGATTCGAAGTAGATGTCTAATTAAAACTGAACAGTATTCAAAAGTGAAAGACCCATATGGCAACGAAACATTAGGCATCCTAGAGCCCGTCAGAGCTATTGTAGCTCTGATAATAATGATGATTCGGCACATTTAAGAACCTTTTCGATTTTTTCAAAAAATTTAAATTAAATACCATATTTTATATGCAATTATTTAATATTTTTGAAGGTAGTCAATCATCTTTTTACTGTTACCTTTGGAAGTCCTCGTAAATTTATGCAATTAAGTATAATTTTAGAGCCCATTTTTTTAAATAACAAAAATTAAAAAAATAGGAATCAATATTACAAAAACTTTTTAATCTGCATTTTGGTGTAAAACTTTTTGTATATCTAGATATACATATATCTAGTATAAGTATATATTTGATATTCCTTATAAATATATATTTTATATCCATTAAAGGTTAATTATATAAAATTAATTTTGTCCATTAACACAATTTGTTAATCTATGACAGCACTTTACTTTGGACAAAGTAAAGTAATTTCTCTTTTAATATGACATATAAATGATAAGATAGGTTAGATTGATAAGATCAGTATTATGTTAAATTTATTATGAAATTAAATTTTCTTTTTCTACTAATGTGTAATGAAATTATTTTATTAAACATTTATTAAACATATGCAGTATTTATTCAATTTAAATATCATCTATAGAAAAAAAAAATAAAAAAAAAATTAATTATACATAATTTACTGACATGAAACTTTACAATTTTAAAATGAATTTTATATATTAATTTTTCAAAATTAATTAAATATTTTTTTAAAATATAATGTTCTTATATTTTGTTTTTAAACTTATTCTTACATTTAAAATTTATTATTAAATTGTTAAATTTATTATTAAATCGTTAAATTTATTATTAAATCGTTAAATTGTTATAAAACTTAACAGTAAATAGTTATAGTAAATTTTTTTATTAAAAGTTCTTATGCAGCTTTAACAGTCTTCAATCTACACCCTTCTCACCCATTTAATTTACTCACTAATTAAACGCAGGCAGTAATTTCAAATTCTTGAAACAATACTGGCTACTGACTAGTGATTTTAATAAAAAATAATTGTATTTGTATGGTTTTTATAAAAGGAGCTTTTACCATTTCGAAGAAATAAGAAAATTAACCTTTTCCTTACTGCATAAATTTACATGAAATATGATAGACCTGAACATATGCGGGTCAGCGTAATCTCACCCATCAACTAACCAGCTCAGGAATAAGGTCATAATTATATATCCGCACATAAATTGAGTTTGCATGTTCAGCGGATACGAAAGGACATTTGCACGCTAGCCTAAGTCCTTAAGAAACGAATGGAAAACTGTACTTTAAATTTTATGTGCGCACATTTTCATAAAACGGTAGTTTTATATTCTATAGATAAAAGTAAATGAAATTGCTTTCAACATTAAAAGTAAATAAACATAAATGATTTTATAAGGAAAATAAACTTAACTTTTTATTTAAATGTTTAATAATAATTAATGGTACTTTCTATTTTCAGAATGCTTTTAGGTGCTTTTCCGATGGGTAACAAAACTGGTGCTGCTCCAACAAATAAAAATGGAAAATGTCGATTTCTTATACTTTGTGGCGGATATATTTTATTTCTGATACTTGGTGCAGCAATGTTCTCTGCGATAGAGGCACCAAAGATTGATGACATTTCCAAGCGGGTGGAAACTTTTCGAAATCAATTTCTACAAAATCACGCATGTCTTAAAGGTAACTATACATTAATAATACATTAATTATGAAAATACTATAAAATGAGTCCTATGAATATGCCCAGGTCTAGTCAGATTCGAGCACTTCACTACGAAAGCCTAGGCGCAAATAAATCTAGTGAACATATCTAATATAGATTTTAAAAAGTATTGTTAAGTTAGTTTTGGTTGGAGTGGCGGCCTTGTATGGAATGGCCCATTGTGGTACCACAGGAATAGTGTTGGTTCGTACATAGACTAGAAGGTCAGTATACGACCAACGCCGAAAAAGCAACGACTCCCCATTAGATAAAGTTAAACCAACCTAACAATTCTATGAATCTGGGTAAGCCCCTATTATTGCAGAAAAACAGCTCAGTCATATCGATAAAAAAAGAGGCCCCTGAAATTTTTGATCTTCTCCTAGCTAAATATGGACACTAGCACGTGAGATGAAGCACAGTTTCCTCTTCATACTCAAAGCCACAGCCGTGACAAAGATCATTATAGGGAATATCTACTCTCATAGCATGCGTTACTAATATGCACAAGGTTTTGAAATAGCTTACTGGTACATGCAAATCAACCTAGATATCTGACAGCAGGATTCGTTAGCCTAGTGTTGATTGACTGTGCTTAAATATTTTTGTTTGATTGTTAGTTTTTTAATTGGCGTTCCACTGCCAATATCTGAGAAATATCAGAGAGAAGAGCGCCTGCTTTTGCAAGCTCATCCATTCTACAATTGCCCGAGATATCCCTATGACGAGGACCCAAATAAATTAAACCTTCACCCTCCTAGCTAGGTCATTAAGGTAAGCACTGCAGTTTTAGGAAAATAAATTATGATTGAATATGTGAGATGTTTCGAATATATAAAACAGTTGTAAAATATTGTAGCTCTAGGATTAAATTTTTATTAATAAAAAATAGGAATATTTCTGTTAAGACCAACTGACCAAAACTATTTATAACTATTAATATAATAAAATTATCTATAAATTAGAAAATATTTTACTCATTTGCTGAAACTAAGATTAATGTTCTTTCATTCTGAAACACCATATCTCTTAAAAACAAACTATGTATATATAGAAAAAAATATATATATATTTACTTAAGATACTATTGACACCTTTATTTTCTTAATTCCAAACAGACATTTACGTGACATTATATAGCAATGGTGTTGCTTTAGTTAAATAGCTACTATATGCATATAATAGCTTTTGCGCAGAGGCGATATCGTCACCGATTAAGTTCTATGTTGCTGAGGTGCGATTATTGCTAGTTCAAAACTTTAAACTTTTTATAGAGTAAATTTGTTATTTTAAATATATTTAAAAGACTGTTACTGACTGTTACTCTACTCGATATTTTGTAGTTTCCATATTTTCCAGCGAAAACATTAACTTCATTGTTTGAAAGTTTTTTTTTTTGCATATCACTATGCAAATCCCTTATATACAATTGAATTATTTAAGTTATTTTTTTTTTGTATAAACTGCATCTATTAAACTTTTATTTTCTTTACCTATAAAATTATTATAAAATATTATATCGTGTTTAATTTCACAGTTCTAATGAAGACTTGTTATGTGTTGTCACATAGAAATGCATGCGATATGAAAGAAATTTTTATTAGCTCTGGAATCGTTTTGTGTATTTGCGGCTTTTATATTTGTATATGTCTCAAGTTCTTGGTAAAACAGACACAGCTCTTTTTATTCTGAATATAGAAAGAAATGCAACGATCAGCAATTTTTTCTATATTTTTCATAACAGACACGAAAAGCACAAAAATATTATTCAGTTTGATTTTGAAGAGTGCACAGTAAAGATTAATTTTAATTAAGACTTAAGATAGATAACAACAATAAGACTTATTAATGTAAAAAATAGAAAAAAAAAAAAACAAAATAAAATTAACGTAAATTAATAAACAATAATTTAAATGAAAATAAAATAAATGACCACAAATGATAAAGTGAGAAAAATCGTAATAAATAAAATTAATCTAAGTGGCCGAAATCTGAAATCTGTGAGCCAGCAAACATATTATTTGTAATAAATAACCATTAACATGACTTCCGAAAGGCATTGCAAACATAGCGGATATGAGAGTCTCGATGGTATTAGCAATCAATCACCATCAACCTCTTCGCACGTGCACAATTCAAATGACTGCTTAACACAGAATAATAAAATGATGGCAAAAGACCTATCCAGATCCGACACCGCCATACACTTGCAACCGCAAATGGACAATATTTGCGCGCGTAGAATATCATCAGTAATTTCCTCCATTAATATATCTTCCTTTAGCCTCAATAGCGCCTTCCAAAACTCACGTCGTATTTTGCTTAATAACCGCGGCTGTGATTTTGAACCAAATAACGTAGCGAAATGCCAAAATGAAACCAAATGTACAAATCCGTTCCTGAAACTGAAACGGAAAATAAATCGTCATCATTTTCTGATTTTATTTGTTTTGTTCTACGTCGCTTATTTGGCATTCGGGGGTTTCTGCTTTCAAATGTTCGAAACGCCAATTGAAAATAATTATCGCACCGGGCTTAATAGTCTACGTAATGATTTTTTAAAAAAATATCCACAGATTTTGGGTAAATATTTTTCTAAGTAATATATATAATAGCCTATAAATTAATACAAACTTAATTATATGATTATGTACTTTACAAGATAATTTATCTCAATTACGAATACTTTCTCAAACAAGTTCTAAATCCTAAAAGTACTTGTGCATTAACCATATCAATTTTAGGATTAAGAGGTCAGTAGAATGGAGCACAACCACCATAGTAGATCATTTGTGATACAACTAACCATAATTGAATAGAAGAATGTTTCTAGTTGAAAAGTTCATTAATCACGATTATTTCATTGTCGGACTCTCCCACTGGATGGAAGAATATGGGTATAACCTTATAGACTACATGAATGAACTGGCAATATTAATAAGTAGTAAATAAAGTGGTACTATACTTAAGTAATGCTTACACGAAGTTTAAAACGATATAGGAATGAAATACCAATAATAATTGAAAAAAGACTTAATAAATCGTTATCTAAAACAATAAACCTATGTCTTAGGGCCCTGTTCTAATAATGTTTAAAGTTAGTATAAATATAACTTGCTATTGGATTGTCTGAAGAATAATATTAAGTTGCTTTAAAAAAGATTTGACTAAGCCGAATCTGTCTACAAGCAGATAAAAATTTGATTAAGATTTTTAACGATTGTTTGCTTTTACTAAGGTCTAGGCGGAGAATGTATCCTCATCTCGGTCGATATTGTAAACTTTTCAACTAATGACATTCTTCTATAAAATTAACTTTAGTTGTAACACAACTAAGGACATTCTAAGTTGTAACACAAAAGAATTACTATGGTGGTTGTGTTCCTTTATTCTAACACCTCTTAAATATCTATCTATCTTATCTATAAAAGATTTAAGATGTTAAAACGGCAAAATTTCTCGTAACAATGTTTTGTACAAGTAACAGAACTTAAAAGTTACATTTGTTTAAATTTATATACATGTAAAAAAAATGAAAATTTTTTTCATAGGAACTTATATTTGCATTATTATTATATATGACAACTACTATATATATAAAATAGCGTCAATAAATTAATCAAATGTCACAAAAATATTAGGCAAGTTACTGATTTCAAGGTTACCCCGTTTTGTCAACTATTTTCAGCAAGATGGTGTTTTCATTAACAAATATTGAACCTCGACATCTGCAGATCTAAGCTATATCGGTAGGTAACATAGTGAAAAAATTTGATCAAAATAGGTGTCTTTACTTATCGTATTTCTATTAGGTTATTTGCTCTACTATACCGGTTTTACTACATCTGTAGACAAAATGTGTGAAAAAATTGGACCGTACGATCCGGAAGAAGTATCACTATTTTTTATCACACCCGAATTTACGAGACACAAGTGTGTTACAAATAAGATTGCTTCTTTAAAATAAATTAGGTATTAATGTATTAAAATATATTACCATCTGTTTTGTCCAAAATCATTTGAAACTCTTCCCGCGTTATTATTTTGGTAATGCCATGGATATTGTAATTAAATAAAAAAAACATTGTCTCTGTTATCTTTTTTGAAGATCTTCGAAGTTTGGTATCAGTTATCATTCAATAGAGTTATAAGAACCATCAAATTGCTTATTGTTCTCATTAATATGTGTAGCACTATTATATTTTGGTACCACATACGTTACAATATGTTTTGGTCAATCAACCATTTGATAAGATTGACATGCTTACTTGGCAATAATTTTTTATAGATATACATTTTGTAATACAGAAAATATATATATTATTCATCTTGGCGTAAATAGATGTGTAAAGATAAGCTGCTCTACTTTAAATATTTTCAATATTCATCTTTCAATATTTAAAGAAAGAAGACCTATAGTAAAGACGACAAGCTAATTTGTCATTAATTTTTTTATATATACGCATTTTGTAAAACACTGAGTATATGCCTGACCACAAGGCATATATAGCTGTAACTCTTAATGTAATTCAAAAATATCAAGTTGTGAAAGTGTGAAGATAATCTCTTCTACAGTTTATAATCGCATAAACCACACTTATATACTTTTATCACTCGTATACTCTAGCAAAACTTTTTAAAAAACTTACTTTCTATTTAATTTCAGATGAGGACCTAGAAGATTTTTTACATGCTATTATTACGGCCAACGATCGCGGCATATCACCCTTGCGCAACGCCTCCAACGAAATGAATTGGAGCTTTGGTCAAGCACTTTTCTTTTCAAGCACTGTCGTTACCACAATAGGTAGTGAAATTTTTTTCTTAATATATATATGTAATATATAAACATATATTGTATTTATAACAAATTTTATTTACTTAGGTTATGGACGTGTTACGCCACTCAGTCAAACTGGCAAAATATTTTGCATTATTTATGCTACCATCGGTATACCACTTACCCTACTATTACTAAGCGCAATGGTTGAACGGTTACTTATGCCCGCTAATTGGCTATTGGGTACACTTAATTCAAAGCTTGGACATTTATATCAACCTTTCAATATACGTTTACTACATCTAAGCATTGTTGTTGTAATAGTGGCTGCAATATTCTTTGCTATACCAACAGCAATATTCGCTTACCTGGAACCAGCTTGGGGTACATTAGACGCTTTCTACTATTGTTTCATATCCCTAACTACAATTGGCTTAGGCGATTATATACCCGGTGAAGGTGTTTCCATTGAACACCGTTCCATATATAAAATGTTTATTACGGGCTATTTAATTTGCGGTAATTATTTGTTACTTATTATTGTTATTGTTATCGTATATAAGTTTATGCAAAAGTCATATGTTATATATATAAAATTAATAATTTAATTGTTATTTTTAGGATTAATTGCAATGATGTTCGTGCTGACAATATTCTATGATATACCACAATTAAACTTAGGCCAATTGTTTACGGAAAGTGTTAATGGAGAAACTGAAAAACTACGCTTATCTAGTAATAATACTACTTGTTATTCTGGTCCATCTGGATTATATATGCCGCAACGTGATGAGGATACACGACGTGCAGTTGTACGTATACGACCGCATGGCGATGACTCACCTAGCCCCGATGAAGCGCCCTCATCACTTAATAGTGATATGAGAATACCATAGAAGGCAGAAATTTATCAATAATTTAAAAAAAAAAACATTAACATTCTATGCAATCATTAACTACTATAAAGTTACGTACAATTTAACGAATATATCAAGTAACAAATCGACAGTTTACAAAATTCTAATCATATCCTATATGAATACATATTCCATATAGCATAAAATTGTAGATACAATATGCTATATACGATATTATACAAATAGAATTTACACAATTGTTTTAAGTAGTAAAATAAATGTTACAATCGTAAAATCTACAGATATTCTAATAATAAAAATAATATATTATGCAATGTCATTATATGTAGCGAATTCTAAGTCCTTACAATCTGATATATCTAGCATGATATGACTATGAAGTCATATTGAAAAAAACAAGCTTTGAGAATGTTTCCTTTGTTATTTCTTAAATAAGTTTAAAATTCAGAAAGTAAAAATCGGTATTATCTTAAAAAAAAAAAATTATCAATTATAACAATAATTATAAAAATATGTTGTCTAAATCCCTGGTTTAAATTATAACTTAAATTTCTTTATAGTGACTCCATAGTTTCGTGATGGGAGCACAGGAGCCGTCTCCAGGAGCCAAAAGTTTCAAACAAAATATAATTTATTTTGTTTAGCTTTGAGCTCCAAGCACAATAAAAGTTACAGTTCATTGTTTTTTTAAACAAATATAAGCAATAAGAAGGCTATATACATTTTATACGATCCGCATCCATACAACCGCAACAACAGCAGGTCTAACAGAAATAAATATTCTAAGCGTCTTAAGCTAAAAAAGCTGTTATTTTGTTTCTTGGTGTTTTTAATGCCATACATAAATTGTTGTTGTTAAAATAATTTCTGTATTTAATGCCAAAAAAGATATTATTATTGAAAAGAAAGGATAGTGCACTGCGACCTAAAAGATCTATTGTGCTTCTTAGTCGGATTAAAGTGTTTCTCCAAGTCCGATTTCTTTAATAAAAGATAGTACAGAGCCTATCTTTCCTAGTCTTGGAAAAAGATATATTCAATGTCGAAATTTTATTTTTATGACAAACTTAGATTTATATATAGAACCAGTTGTAGTGCTCCATAACCCTTAGCAAGCTTTTTCGTTTCATCTAAGAACAAAACTAAACTAATAACTAAACTTAACTTATCCACACTTTATACAGGTAGAAAATTACAATAGATCTAAAAGTGATCTTTTCATATTTAGAAATCATATATCATATATTCTTTTATCAAGTAAATATTCGACAAAATATATATTTTATATATTAGACGTGAACCAAATAACAGTTGACAACATATTTTTATAACTTTAGTTAATTATATTAATAATTTATTTTTTTTTGGTTATATAGCTATTATGTAATTGTTTTTTTTTTTGTTTTTGATATTCATTAGTATTTATTTCTGTTGCTTTTTTTAAGTATTTCTGTAAAAATCAATTTCACCGAACAATACGCCTCTAACATATATTAAAAAAAATATTGCTAAAGGGCACACTAAGTAGTTCCTCATTGTAAAGCGTCCAGAACAAATATATTAAATATTTTACAAATTATTATTCTAAGTTAAAATAAGTATTATTTCTTTTTTATTTGCTAATTAATATTTAAATACATAAAGACAAAATAATTTATTATATAAATAATTATATTTATAAATTATATATATATTTGCAAAGTTAATATATTTTCCTCGCAGGTATGAAACACATAACATGTAACCTTATACAAAATATATATATATATAAATATAAATAAATATATATATATATAAATGCTTTATAAAAGACATAATTATGGAATAAACATATAAGCAAGTAGTGATATCCTCTCAAAATTTTGTTGGTTTTAAGTGCGCCATAGACGTTATTGTTGTTGAAAATGGTTAGATTTATTTATATCCAAACTGTGTATAAGATTAATGCCTTTCAATATATATATAGTAACCTTTACACTAAGTTGTTTCCAGAATGTTTTCATATATATTATTATTATTATATATACATTTTATATATATTTAAGATAATGATGAGTTTCATTTGAATATTGCTTGAGAATAATGAAACTCTGGAAGAGTTTTTTAATCCAATTATTAATATTTTTCATTTGATCGATATTTGTGTGAATTTTATATCAATATATATACAATATATTAAATACATTTTATGTATCCATTTATACTTATGTATATAGAAATGAACATTTAATTAGAATATAGAAGATTGCATATTTATGTATAAGAGAACATAATCACACCAATCTATGTATAATACAAGATATTGACAAATAAATATCAGAATTCATAGTATTCAATTGTTTAGTTTGTTGTTGTTCTTTGTTAAAGCAAAAGGATGGATTATCTATCTTCAATGATATAGAGAAAATAGTCAATATTGATTTAATAAATTTAAATCAAAATTCATCAAAAAAAAATCAATACAATATAGGCATCAAAATTTACCTATTTATTATTATATTATAATTATACTATTAACAGATGTTGTTGTTGTAATAACCCGCTGAGAGCTGCTTGAGAAGTCCCTTTAGAAGTTGTTGAACGGTACTTGGTTATCGCTGGCGGCGAGTGGTTCCGGGACATAGACTTATTACAGATCATACATTATAATTATTTATTATATTACATGGGAATTATATGTGAAACTGCACATGGTTAGCGAATATGGTCAAAAAGCTGATAGGTCTAAATAAAGTGTAAGAGTAAAGTTAAGTTAAAATGTATAAGGTTGACTATATAATCCCGATTTTTGATATTTTTCACACTTGTTTTATCATATCTCACATTTTAAGTGACTTGTGGGGCTAATAACACAAATTTAATTTCAGATAGAATACCAAAATAAACTACATAATAAATAAGAGATTTAGTATATTACATGAAAGTTATATTTAATGATTAGAAAGATAATTTCATTCTACGTAAAAGAAAATCATTTAGAAATCGTTAAAGAACATTATTAATATACCTTATAGGTCTATACAACCTGGGTTGCAATATTAACTAACATATTCAATCGCGGTTTTTATAATGCTTTTCACAATTGTTCTATCATATCTTACATTACACAGGTACAGATGAGTACTAAGAAGAATATAGATTTGCGAGCACAGTATCAGGCGTTAATCCATCAAATGTACTTAGGTGGAGATAACCTGTTCACGAATCTACTTGTCGTAAGGATTGCCAACAATCCTCAGCATTTCATAGACAGTTCCAGACAGACAGTTCTGCTCCACCACAGCAGACTTTAGATGACGTTCCTTTGACGAACCATACTTAATGGAGCAGGAAGTAGTAATGGTCCTAAATGGTGGAAAGAACTCACAGTATATCGCAAAATAGCAATACACCGGACATAGTGATGGCTAATCACCGGGATTTACATAATGGAATTGTGTTTTTTAAAGAACAATTAATCTATTCAAATTCAATACGAAAAGAATCCAGTATTAGAGATAGATAGCTATTACCGAACGCGATAAGAACTATATACTATAATAATCGTTATTTTGGGTAAAAGTATTACTAAATTAGAAGTCACAAAATATTCTTGGCAGAATGCCAAACCAAAGAAGATCAAATCAATTTTGAAGGTGTACATGTAATTTGACGATATTGAAAGAATTAAACACTACGGCCGATTAGTTATATACCGTGTTGTCTGGCTAAGTATGTGGAAGAAACTAACGCTCATAATGCTGGGAATTTTATTTTATTAAAATATTAAAGTTTTTAACATGGATATAAAGGTAGTTTAAACTAACATTTTATTTGATTTTTATTTTGAACAACAATTTTTTAAAGAAAAATTATTTAATATTCTATTACAATCATTGTTTTTTACTCTTACACGTTGAGATGACAGTGGTTTCGATTAATTTGAACCTATTTTAAACTGTAATCCAACATTTTTTTTTCAACTTTATACACTTTCTGAACATAATTCTAACTTAAAATAACTCAAAGGAAATTTATTTTAAATATATGAACATACTGATACTTAAAGCTTTCGTGTAAAAGTTGAAAAATGTTTAAAGTTTTACATTTGCTACAGTGGCTAAGTTTGGCAGCACTGCATCTTGCGTGAACAGTACACTGATCTCATTTTCGAACTTTTAAAGCTCGACATTTTAAAATAGTGGCCGCATGTAGTTTACAGTTACTTTTAAACTTGATTGTGTTGAATAATTTCTTTTATTTTTAATTCATAATTTAAATTATAGTTTATAAAATGGCTATGTTTTTTGGTGGTTTAGAGATACCGACAGATGCGCGAAAAGAAAATTATTTATCGTATTTTCAAGAATCAGGAGTTCAAGAGAAATTGTCACAGATTCTTACTAAAATGTTTGAATCGAAGCGTAGACCAAATAATCCAATGGAATACATAAGAAAAGAACTTGGTGCTACTATAGTTTCAGCTGAAACACTCGAAAAACTGGAGGCTGAGGTCGATGACGCCAGACGTGAAATTCGCCGTTTGCGCAGTATTTTGAGAAAACTTGGCGTTGAGAACATCGATGAAAGCGATCACGAAATTGAAGAAGAAGAAAATTCAATTAAAGACGAATAAAAAAAAGTAATAAAATGTAGAACATTTAAAATTAAATAAAAAATATTAGTACAATGACAGTCAGTGATTATTATTACATTAAATTTAATTTTAAAATAATTGATTAAAATGCAATTAATAATCATACAGTTTAAAATTTTTGATTTTTTATATATAAAGTTATATATTTCTAAATAAACCTAAGAATGAAATGTATTATATATGAAGATTAATAAAAATAAAGAAACATTGGACAGAAGATTTTCCAATATTCATTCTGTAATACTATAAACACAAAAAAGGATTTAAAAGTGATGTAGATTGTCATCTTTTCCGTGTACCGATAAATTGCTACACACTCAAAGGAAGGAGGTAGTAAAGGTAGTAGCTTTTACCAACTCAATTAAATTAAAATTCGCAATATACGAATTAAAACATATAATGACAAAAACAACAATAAGATAATGATTATAGAGGTAATCATTAATGTTACTGTGGTAGACCGCTGAGATGCATGTGTTAGGATGTAGATGTCTAATTATAGAGTGAGGGTGGGGGGTTTAAGGAGTAGAGGCAGATTAGAAACGTAGTCATTTATCGGGTGTCCTGCTTTGATTTACTGCACACAACTGCTTGCACATACAGATACCTATAGTTTTGGCATCAATCGAACACATTTATGCCCCATTAACTCATAGACCGTCTTTGAACTATTAATTCGGCCACGTTCTTAATGGGTGGACATTACTCAATATGTCGTCTCTGGATTACTGTGGTAATAATATATATTAAATAAAACCAATACAGCCACTGATTGGAAAATTCAATTCTATCTTAAAGTGCTATTGGTGTTTAAGAGTACTTCATAAAGATGTAATTAAATTAATATCTTATCATCTAATATGTATCATTGATAGGATCACATTTTCCAGTAATAGTTGGAGGTAGGTTATACATCTACAAGTTAGATGTATTTATTACTCTCAAGTTTTTGCACTGTGCCACTTCCACAATATAGACATATTATATCTTACCATATATAAAGCCGTTATTTGTTACACTTCACTTGATAACTCATAACTCAAACAACAAAATTATTTTCTGTAATTAAACAAATATCTGCAATTGTTTAATTCTTCATATAGTACTACCAATATTATTCATATAATAATACTAGCAAATTTCTAGATTTATTATTATATTTTCAATATCAAAATATTAAGCATCGCGATTGTGTTTAAAATTATGAATATATTTACGAGTAGATAAAAAAATCGAAAAAAAAATCTTCAACATCATTTACTTAAGTTATTAGGAAGTACATTAAAAATGCCACACTTCCTAAAGGTATAGAGATTATAGGTCACAATTATGAAACCCATTATACTTCACACACGCATTTAGACAGTGCTGAACACACTTCATTTATATACATTTAAATCAACAAAAATCAAAGTGTCAGCTAACAGCACTAATACTTCAAGAAAAAAAATGAATAGGGCATTACAAAATAGTGTTTTTATATCAGCTTTTTGGGCCGCACCTGCTTACAGATTGTCGTCTGCGAAACATAACATTTATCTGAAAGCACTTATATTTAACTGAAAATAAAATTCAGAACTAAATTTCAGAACTATTAAAATGTACGAACTTGTATTTTAGTCTTATACATTACCACCTTTAGTTAAACATTGGACCCGGTACTTGCAAATCTCATTCAATATTTTTTCACTCTACAATACTATTATAAAAAAAGAAATAAAACAAATTAAAATTAAGATTTCAAAATGAATTTTATTCTCTTTATTAACTTATTTTAAACTTAATTATTTGTATATATGTATATGTATACATATATATACGTATATATATATACATATACATATATATGCTCATCATTATGTATGCATGACCTTTTAAGAAATATTACTGTTCATTGCGGCTATCTGAAGAAATACATTTGATATTTCCCTTTAATTTAACAATTTATATTGATTTTATAAAATTTGTTAAATTTTTTAATATCATTCATATATGCTGTAGTTATTTTAATTATGTGTTATATGTTTTCTTAATATTAGTGACAAATTATACTTCAGAATATGTTAATCGATATTAAGCTGCCGACTGCCTTGTTTTAGTAAATTATACAATATTTTTTTAAATGTGAATGTATACATTTTAAAATTATTTTTAAAACCTTATATAATTCTTTGCTTGTTTTCAATTACATATTTGATTACATAAACTAATATTATTTAATTCTTAAATAAATTTTTTAAATTCATGTAGACACGCATGCACAAATAGATATAATTAATATATATTTCATTTTCATTTACGTAAATTTTTGTTTTTTGTGACCTTTTTTGTGAATGAAAATAACTAATATTTAATTTTATAATTTGATTTAATATATTTTCTTTTCTACAATTGCAGCCTAAACTAACAAAACAATTTCATCGGCATTTTCATTAACTTAACATTTTAAAATTTAAACATTTCCTATTATTAATTATATTCATTTAATGGATTTTTTTTGTTTCTCATATTTATTTTAAATTTTTAGTCATGTAACTTTTTGCTCTTCCAAATGAATTTTACTCAACATTTGAATAATTCTTAAATTGTGGTGCCTACCAAAGAAATCAATTGTACAATAACATATTTTTGATATAATAAATACATAGCCTAGTCTATGTTTATGATATCTACTTTATAAAATTTTTGTTATATACTTTTTTACTATTGTATTATACTGCATATGTTTTATCTTTGAAAGGCATACTTCTATATTTTGCTTATTTATGTTCCGAATCCTTATTAATACATATTATCATGAACTAATATAGCAAATTGTGCCTCGTATAACTAGGTTCATAGACTTGCCTATATTTTTATTACTTAAAATTATATATATAATTATGTTTTTTTAATAGATTATTAGCAAATTTGTGTATATATAATTATTTATATGTTATACATAATTTATATGTATAAAATTTCATTTTAGTCACAAATTAACTTAAAACTTTATATGTAAAAATTGCAATAGGTTTCTACAATCAAATAAAACAATATACAAATCAATCAGGTAAATACATGTTTACAATTATGAATATTTTTCTTACAAAAATTAAATACAAAAACAAATACATTAAAATAGGACTACTTGAAACAAATAAACATATTAAAATTATATATTAAATTGTCGACCGGAACGTTAACGAGAATTATAAGAATTTAAAATATCTTTGACGAGATTTATTACTAATTGTAGCCGATCAAAACTCAAATTTGTTAAAACAAATTTCGCTGCTAAGCGATGCAATATAAAAGCTGAAGACGTTGTTTAAAAACTTATTAAATTATGTGCTTTTGTCAGTCACAATATCTACTTTCCAAACTTTTTAAAAATATGCATAAAAGTAAAAAATTATCAAAAATGTGTATGTATTATCATACGTAGAAAATTATTAAAAAAAAATTTAATAAAAATTGAGTCATATAATGGCTGATCATAAGATTTTGAAATTCAAATTGCTTCTTAGTAATAATTAAAAAACAATTTAAAATATTAAACAAATAATTGAATTCCATATATACAATGAACTATTGTAATAGTATATATGATTATTACATATTTGATTTACTACTATATACTAATTTATAGAGTTTATAAAATTATATTAACAGACTGAGTCTTCAAAATCAATATGGACATAGTACCATAATATAATAAAATTGAAATGCAATTTTCAATAAAGTAAAAAAAACACTTAAATTGTTACTTCAAATTAAACAAAAAAAAATACTTGAAATGCATTTTCAAATTAAACAAAACAACAAAAACAGAATTGAAATATAAATTTAAATTAAACAAAAAAAAAATCATACATTTCGATCGAAATTAACAACTCAGTTTTATCAATCATAATTGTCAGCAGCTAATTCTTGTATTAATTATTATATAGAATATTAAAACTACTGTTCTTCAATGATTGCTCATCATATTTTATTTTCGACTTCTAGTATGTCTATTATGCCCAGTTGCATTAGCATTTGATGTACTTACGCCTGGTGAATGCGGTTTTGTCGCTGAATTATTTACATCATTAGTCGAGTTTTTGTTCTGTGCTTCTGTGTCAGTTTCAGGATCTGTTTAAATAGTTTTTTTTAATACCAAATGTAGCAAATATATTGCAACTGTAAGCGTACTTACGTCTATTCTTTGAGTTTACTGATTTTGTATTAGAATTTGTGCCCCGTTTTGCTGGTGAGGGATAATCTACACTTTCATCTAGTATGGATTTTCGTTTTGTTGCTCGATCACTTCGACTACTTGAAACGGTCTGAAAGATAACAAAAAAAATCATATAATGCGAATATTATTATACACCCAGTATATATATATATATATGTATATATATATATATATATATATATATATATGTATATATATATATATATATATATTATAGTATATATATATATATGTATATATATATATATTAGTATATATATATATATAATATATATATATATATATATATAATACAATATATATCTAATATATGTATACAACACATATATGTTATATAATAACATATTTATAGTATATTAATATACCTTTTCAGAGCCTTGTTTAGTTCGTGATGTTGTTGGGGTAATTGGTGAAGCTGCTCTTGCTTTAGCTAAAGGCGATCTTTGTGCACGTGGTGATGACTTCGAAGCCGATACACTACTTGACTTTTTTTGACTTGGTTTATATTCTTTATCAGATGGACTCTCATCTGAACTTTCGTCATCATTATCTTCATCAGTAGAATCTGAACCTTTTGATTTTTTTTTACGTTTACTTATTGATTTTCGCTTTTTAGCCGATAGTTTTTTTGAAATCGCGATAGATGCACTCACACTACCACGACTGCGTTTTTTACCAACTGTTGGTGATGCAACTCCTGTTCCGATGCTATCATTATTGATACTGCGTCTTGACTTACGCACAGCTGCAACTGTTAATAAACCACCTGCACCTTTTTTCTCAATTTGAGATTCATCTTTATATAATGAGATATCAACTAAAAATATTTTCAAATTAGACAAATATATATTTATTATTTCTAATAAACTTACGTCCATCTGGATTCTCTTCTGAAAGTTCTGGTCTTGGTACAATACCCTTTTCTACATCTAGGGCCTTTTTAAGTATGCTTTCTATACGTGTTCTTTCTTCTTCAGGTAAGCGTAAGTGTCCCTTATCAAGTTTTTTCAATTCAACGGTAGTTAAAACACATTCACGATCTGTATGGTCGTAAAAATCTGGTATGTAGATGGTTTCATCTTTGTTATCCTCTGACAACCAACGAATGCTGATACGGGGCGATGAACGATACACATTTTGCATTGTTTGACAAAGATAAAATGTACCTTCTGCATTACGAACTGCCATATATTCATTTTTGTAAAATAGAATAAGTTTGTCTTCCACTGACATTGGCTTTGGTGAATTTGATGCCTCACTGGCGGAAAGTTTAGTAATATAAGCCAATTCTGGTAATGGACTTTGATATAATATTGTTTTGAGACGATGTCTTTGACTTTTACGATCTCTGGAAGTATTTTTTGTTTCCACAGGCGTTGAAGGTGATGTTGACACAACATCATTCGGGTTGACATCTACTTTTAATTTTCTTTTGTCTTCCCTTGCTGCACGACTGCTAGAAGCTTTTTCACTTTTTTCTGGGGTTTTTTCAATAGGTGACTGTACATTTGAAACGTTGTTTGATTTAGCAGATTTTGATTGCCGTAGTGGTTTTTTAATAGGTTTTGTATCTATATCTGTTGCAGTATTTTCATTGGTTTTAGGTAAAATAACTGTTGAAGGTTTATTATTATCAGAGGAGTCCAACATTGCTGTTTGTGGTTCCACCTTTTCCTCAATCGCTTTTTCATCTTTTTGGTTTACAAAACTTGTTTTAACAGAATTGCTTTCTACTTCGTTTGGTATGATTTCATCATTGACCGTATCTTTCTCCTTTTTACATTCATTATTTTCTTTATCAGCTTTCTCCAAGTCCTCTTTTGAAAGTTTTTCGTCATTTACTTTTATTAACTTAGCTGTGACATCGCCAATGTCTTTTTCTTCAGATGAACCGCCTGCAGCAAGTTTAATTTCATCTTCAGTTTTAGTATCTGCAGCATCTATTGACTTTTGTTCCCTTTGTTCTTCTGGTACTTTATTCGTTTCTTTAATAACATTTTCATCGTCTTTATTATCAACCGAAATACAAGATTTTGGTGCGTCAGCAATAGGTTTTATATTTTCTTCATTGTTGTTTTTCTGAAAGTATAATTATATTTAAAAATTTAATTTAAAAAATATATATATTAACACGTTACCGTTTCATTTTCTATATCTTTTGCGATAGAGTTATTTTTAGTAATCTTTATTTCAGCCGATTGCGCACTTGTATTGTCTCCAGTTTCCTTATTTTCAACAGAATCCAAAGAACCTGGAACAGTACCATCCATCGTTTTCTTTTCATTTGATTCTGATATAATTGGTTTTTGAACATTTTCAGTTTTGCCTATATTAAAATATTAAATTAATATATTAATAATATATATGTATTATAATATGTATACCATCATCTGCAGTTTGTGGAGCTTCTTTTTCCTTTATTAGAGGCTCAACGACTGGTGTATTTGGAGCAGAATGTTCACTTTCATTATTTTTGTTGTTTACACTCAAGGATGGAGATTTTAAATTCTTATTAGTCGAGGGCAAATCAACTGTGGTTGGGGTAAATTTAGGCTGAGTAATTTGATTCGAGTTAAGTGGCTCAATAGTATGTTGTACTGAAGTCTCTACAGGCGTTTGAGGTATACTAGTACCACTATTACCAGATGATGATGTTGTAGAAGTTGTTTGTTTCGTTAGTGATACAGGATTCCGTTGCGGTAAATTCTGCACTGCTGTTGAGTCTGGATTTGTACCAGTTCTTAAAGTGGTCGGTACGGGGGTCACAGTTGTATTTGAAGGTTTTTGATGGTGCGATGGAAATGGTGGCGGTATAGCACTTATTATGGGAGAAGATTTACCAGCACCGAATTTATTTTGTTGATGTGCTGCTGTTGGCGTGGGAGACGTTGCCGGATGTTTTGCTGGCAATAAAGATATGGATGGCGCTACTTGTTTTGAAGATCCAGTAATTGTTGGTGGCATATTTGAAGGGCTCTTTGATATTGATCCAGTTGGCAAAGAGCCACACCCAATATTTGCGGCAGTATTTGCAAGTACAGGTGTAATTTGAGTACTTGGTGGTAAATTGGGCGGTTTCATTTGATTGGTAAGTGGAGGAGGTGGAGGTGGTGTTGCACCAATTTTATTAGAACCAACTTGTTGTGTATGTTGAACTGCTGATAAATAGCATTGTTGTAAGGTTTGCAACTGCTGTACAGCTGCCGCAGATAAAGCTTTTTGCTGTTGTTGATTTTGACCATGCAATTGCTGTTGCGGAATCGGTAATTGAGCTTGTTGTTGTGCATGATGTTGTTGTTGTGGAGTTGGTTGCGTAAAATGTTGCTGTTGTTGCTGTTGCTGCTGCATTTGCATCTGAAAGGCCTGTAATTGTTGCATTATATTTGGTTGCAATGCTTGTAGTTGTTGTTGAAATTGATTAATTGCAGAATTGGTATTGGTTGAACTACCATTCGGCTGTTGTTGATGATGTTGTTGATAAGTTTTACTAAGCAATTCCGCAGCAGCTGGGGTGCGCGTTAACGCTAATGGTTCACCTGAGCTACCAGAATGATCTTTATTTTGTTGCTGTTGTTGTTGCTGCTGCATTTGTTGCTGAAAATGATATAACTGTTGTTGTTGCTGCTTCAAAATTTGTAAACGTTGTTGTTGCAGAAATACATTTATGTCAGCCTGTGGTGATTGCGGTATTGCATTTTGTCCATGTACTAAACTTTGCATTTGCTGTTGTATTCCAGCTATTGTTTTGGCAACTTGCTGAGAGTTATTTGGACCATTTGGTGGACCACCACCCATTCCACTGCCTCCAGGTCCAGGCGGTTTCTGATTATAGCTCATTTTAACATAAAATATTTATAAATCTGAAATTTGAAAACATTTAAATATTAAAATAATACAAGTAACACAATTTTATAGTTTACCTTGATATAGATATGCTGAATGTGCTATATGGTGTTTTTGATGTATTCAATCAAATATCCAAATAATCCAAATACTACATAGATTAGAAACTTTTAATGAAACCTTTGATTACAAATTGTGTCATCGACGTAGTAACAATTTTTTATATTGTAAGCAAACCCAAGGATCAAGCACTGTTAAAGATATTGATATTTATACATTAACTTCGCAGAAAAGATCTAATAAACAAAATGAAATATATTGTCGTTTTAATTAAATCATCGTAACCAGAAAACCACTTTATTTAATATACATATATTAAGTTAGTAAGAACGGCAAAGTAGTAGTATAATGTAGAAATGCTACTTTGAGCACCAATCGAATTGTTGTTAAAGAAAATAAAATCACTTCTAAATTTGTTCTATTCAGACTTATTGCCATTAACCCAAGTTGTGCTTTTATATTAAAAACTGGACGACATGTGCCAATTTCGTCGCTGTCAGCTAATTAAACTTTGCTTAACCATAACTTGTGTATATCCTTCGTTACTTGTATTTAAGTCAAAAATTTGTGGAAATTAACCATGTTTAATTGTTTGATGAATTAAAAAATATCTATCTAATTTTATGGCGAGAGTCATAAAATGCTGCTGAGCGGTTCAGTTTCTAACTCTCAAGAAACGAAAGGGCAGCAATGGCGATAGGCCACTGTGTGTGTAAGAACACAGCCTCAACGATTACACGATAAAATTCTATTTCACGCACATTACTTAATATGTTTTTAATAAACAAAATCAAGCCCATTTTAATTTAGTATTAATATTAATGATGTAGAAACTATAAATAAACCGGCTAATATGTGTTTTTCCATTTTTTACGAATAAGAGTATAAATAAAGAAATTAAAAACAAGATTCATATTTTATATATACATTCCATTATCTTGATAATTTCATTTATTTAATCAGTCACGACATGCAAAACATATTTTTAAACGAATGCAAATGTATTATGCACGCATAACATATGAAGTCTCAACTTTAAATTCAAAAGGCGGCAAACAAATATTTAACTACAAAACATTAAAATATTCTTTAAATAATATTAAACTATTAAAAACACTGTTTAATTTTATTATTATTGCCATCACAGTCACACTAATAATAAAAATTATTCACATCAATAAATCATTGGAGACACAAGCAAGCGGTAAAACATATATAATCAAGCGAGCGCAGGTAGAAAAATAATTAACCCGTATATTTACAGTACTAAAAGTATATTCTTTGTAGCTAATTATTGACTAACTTACACTTATAATATAAAGCACTGTAATTAAAGTTTTTTATTTCTTGTTATTAACGCATATTTCCTTTACTATTTTATTTAGTTTGCATATATCACTCTTTTTATGCATTCCCTTTTAAACTGCGGCATTGGCAAAACTGATTTCTTATTTTTCACTTGTATTTGAGCACATTATCTTAAGTAAACGAACACAATACATACAAATGCCAATTATGGTTTATAAGTTTTTCATATAAATTATATTACGTATATTTCCACAGTGATTTAAACTATTTATTTAATAATTTTAACAATAACTTTTAAACTCGAAAGCTAAATATTTCAGAAAATTTTTAGACGACATTACACGAGCGACAAGGAGAAAACCGAATAAACTCTACACAATTTCTCCCAATCCACAGTCTCCGTAGCGTCATTTTATTACTACACAGTACTGCCAACTCTGATATATTAAAACGATATTGAAACAACTTACCAAAACGTGGAATCGATTATTGTATAAAATATGTTTTCAAAAATAATAGAAAATAAGAAAAAAAGGGATATGTCTATTAATTTTTTTTAATAAAACATTCAATTTTGCATATTAATATCAATTTCTAAAAAAATGAAATTTGTTAAAACATTACACAATATGCTGTATTTAGAGAAATAACAGACGAATTGAGAGTAGCAAAAAAGTATTCTTTTAGAGTAGCAAAAAAATTTTCACAACTTACGAAAGAAAACATATGAACTAACAACAATGCTGTTAAAATCTTCAGAATTAGGTTTTACTCGTAAAAAATTATAAGTCTTAAGCCAAATTCAAAAATTAGTCTATAAATTATTCATTGGAAATACGTTGCAAAATTTGTTAAAATCATATGAACATTTCATATACAAATAAATTTAAATAGATAAATTAATTTAAATATTCATTTTGTTTTGTATTAAATGATTCGATTTTTATTGTTTAAAATTTTTATATATCATATTATATTTGAAATATTTAAAAAGTGATGCTAATTTGTTTCAACTAAACTGTATATTGTTTTTTACAACCTTAAAAAGAAAAATTATTGCTATTATCATTGCTCATACTTGTACAACACATATATAAAATATAAATCCCATTCATACTATTTGGTTTTAAGCCTCTTATGTATATAAATATTTTTAAATTGTACTTATATCTATTCTGTTGAAGAAAATTCACAACGGACAACTATTTCTGCTTAATGGATCTTGTTTTACAAGGTAGCCATTACAATGTAATCTATTGTAAATCATTTTTCGATGACTTTCTGTAAATCTACACAAAATATGTAGAAGCCACCAATTTTAATTTTATTATATAAAATAACAGAATCTGAGAAATTACTTTCAATTAATTTGTAATGTATCAATATTATTTTTGAGACAATTTTAATAAACAACAAATAATTATAGAATATTATTGAAAAGTTTATTTTTCAATATATACACAAAATATATAAAAGTCTCCACCTTCTGTTTTAAATTCTTTAATGGAATATCAATATAATTTAAATATTGTAAATTTAACAGACAACAAATAATAATAGAAAATTATTTCAAATAATTTTAATATAAAGAAATAAAATTGGTAGTAAAAATGTTTTATTTAAAAATTGTAGCAAACTTACGTTTATATATAACTATTCAGATCGGTTTATTTAACAAAAATGAGTTGTTGCACTATTATTTTAATTGAATATTATTAAGTTGAAGATATTAGTATAATGGAAAGATATTTTATACATAAATTTTTTTATACATTGCATTACTGTGCAACTTTAAAATTGTTAATATTTTATTAATTAAATTTTTTTATCTGCCTATACAGATGTTTCGAATATTGCAAAATACGCATCATCATTGGTCTTTTTTATTCTTAATATCAATAATTCAAAAACTCGAAAATATACTACAAACTTTATGTTCATTTGATTTTTTTTATTAAACAATATACAATGTACAATAATCATTGTACTAGTATAACTCGCATTATAGCCTAATTTAAATTAATTTTATAAATTATAATTTATAAAAATCAACAATTAAAAACATTAAGAAAATATTTTTACTCCGGTTTTCTTAATCATAAACAAAATTAGCAGATCTCAGTTGAAAAAAATTTTAATTCTGTTTTCTCTTACACTACATATAATAATTATTCAAAAACATATTATTCATTTATACAATTATAACTGCAAAATTATTAAAATAGCCTAGTATATTTAGAAAATACGTTTAATTTTTGACTATAATGCATATAGAAAAATATAAATTTATTAACTTGCAAACGTTGCCACAATATTCTACAAAATAAAATGGAAGTTTTATTTTTACACTCACGAATAAACGCATGCCCACATCATAAAACAAGCTTAGTAAAATTTTAATTAATTATTTTTATATAATCATAAAACAGGTAATAATTATTACATATTTATATATTTACATATTTATATACATATATAATAATTATATTTATCTATGCTTATTTAAATAAAAAATGAATTATAACAGTGATGCCAGCTCACAAAATTTAATTTTTTTATTCACAACCAATTCTATTTTAAATTTATACAATTGTATTTTATTCTTCAAATATTGACAAACATAAATAAACGATATATTAAAAGTGACCTTAACTTTAATTAAATTTAAAATTATATTTTTTATATAAGTAACATTATTCTTATATTCCGAACAATTCCTTATCATATGTGAGCGCTGTCATAACAAATTTTGTTTGCTACATCCAGTGTGTTAACATAAAAATAAAATAATGGCTGGGAAAGTTGAAGAAATTACACTTTCAAATGAGGAACTCGAATGGATTCAAATGCGTCGCGATTTCGATTCATTACGTCAGGAGACGGTAAAGGAAAAAATGCTTCGTAAAATAAAAAGCAACCCGCTAGTTCCTATAGGTATGAAACTTAAACTTATGTAAGAAAAGAAAATTTAAAAAACATGTTTTAATAGGTTGTTTAGCTACAGCCGCAGCCCTATCAGTTGGTTTGTATAATTTTCGGACGGGTAATAGGAAGATGTCACAACTTATGATGCGCGCACGTATAGCAGCACAGGGATTTACTGTAATTGCTTTAGTTACAGGTGTCGTGCTAACATACGGCCAAAAGAGTGATAAAGAGTAAAAAACAGTTATAGAAGATAAACCTAGTAGACACTACTGACCTCACTTATTGTTTTATTTTATAATATTATTAATAATAAAAATGAAATTACTTATGTATATGTTTTTATAAAGCTGTGAATTGAACTCTACTTTTAACCAAGTATTCCCTAGGAAGTATCTATTTACGAATAATAAAAAATTTTAATTTTACATCTGCAAAATTATTTTATCATGTTAGTTTTTTTGCCGTCAACTAATAATAATAATTTCATCGAAATAGTCTAAGAATTCATTTGTAAGAGTTATATCTATTGTGGGATTAAATATATATAAATATGAATATAAAGTAGCTAATTAAATATGGATGTGTTTGTTAGACCTCTTTACATTTTTAAAGAATTGGGTCATTGAATCTACTTATTAATATAAAACTTAATAATTATAAACAAACAAACAAATTAAGTATTTGTGTAAAATAGTAAGCGCGTAATTTTCAAAGGTAGATCCAGAAAGAAAGTAAATTGTAATACATTATGCCAAATCTTAATAATTGTATAGAAACTACTGTAGTTTCCTCAGTATTCAATGCACTCCGTATTAAAGTTGGAGTCATATCGCATCGGATGAGATTATTATGCGACAGCCATAACGTGACAGTTGCTACACTCGCGTTGATTTCTCAATCCTTATATGTTTAAATACTGCATTTTTTTTTGGCACTGCTGTGTCAATTTCTTTTATAGGAATAAATAAGTGAGAAGTAACTAACTTTGATGTTTCATTATTCAAAAAAGAACTTCATATTTTTCAGTTTTTCAATAAGAGAACATTGCTAGCTGAGATTCTACATAATTTTTTAACCAATGTTACAAGACGAATGACAAACTTATATATCACGGTAATACTTAATTATTATTATTATTATAATTATTATACTTTCTTTTTATATTCCTCATGTCTTTAATTTTATTGTTTTTTTATATTCTATTGCGTCTTGTTGCAAATGTTAAAGCTTTTGCTAGTTAAAATATATAAGTCAAATAAAGATGACTTACTTGTTTCTTGGCGATAGCTTTAAAATAAATGTACCTACATTTGTTAATATCTCGAGAAGTTTCTGAGAGCCATTAACTCGAGGAAATTCTTTTTTACAATTAAATAAATACTATAAGATAATAAACTTGGTTCAACAATGTTTAGTGCATTTTTTGCCAGAGCTAAAACATGTTTATGATTTTGATTTACTATATCACTTATAATATAGACCTACATTGTGAGTTTGCTTAATAACACCGCATCAGGCATATGAAACAAAATGTGAACAGCAAGTTAAACTAATAAAAAATACAAGAAATTTGCAAACAAAACGATGTTGTCTTGTGAACTATATAAGTTCGTTTATATGTACGATTATTTAAGTGTGAAATATAAACTATCCCAATGCTACTGACTTATTAGAAATTATAATTTTGAGCACACATCAATAAGAAAATAAGTTCACATAATAATAAAAGCATTTTTAATTACTGACTAAATATAATTGTATTTATTCTTCTTTAACATATAGTAGTGTTCCTTAACCCGAAACGAAACATACTGCGGACTAAAAATATATATAATGTGTTTTACTACCACTGGTAAGTAAAATATTTAATATGTTTAACAAGAACGATACCACTTATTCACAAAAAAAAATATCTATAATAACGAAAATACAATATTTTACGTACAGGAACGTGTACTAAACCTGGCATTTGCACTCCAAACAAATTATATACGGATTATAAACTAATTAAAAAATTCGTTGATGATGTGTACTTAGCAATACTAGAAACAGCATTGTATGGTCAGCCAAAATTTCAATAAATTAAATAAATTTTTGTGTTTGTCCTTTTTTCTTTGCTATTCGAAAACCGTGTGAATTTCAAAAAATAACTTCTTTGTCATTAAGACAGCGTACCTTTTTTAACAACACTAATAAAAACTTTAATAATGTTTTTTTAAATATTTTATATCGAGTTACAGGTCAGCTTTTTCTAAATTAAACGTTTGTTTAAAGTGTTTTAATATATTCTATATTTCGACTCTCCTTAAAAAGCCATCATCAAGATCAGAGAACTATAAAATTAATAAACATTAATTAATATTAATAAAATCTATATCCATACGTCATGTTTTTGGTTTTGTCGTTCGTAGTGCAATATGGATTTGCAGCCGGATATAATATAAATATAAAAAAAAAACATTTTTTGTTACTCATAGCAAAGTATCTTGGATTACTTATTCCCACTTCAAAGAATTAGTTATTTTTTCCTTTGAACTATTAAAATATACTTACCCAATTTTTTTATATTGCTTAATTTTTTATAAATGAAACAAGTATAGTTTTTTGTTTTCTCAGTATTTTTCACTTTATTATTTTTTCAATTTTCATTAAGGTTGATTCGGTAACATTTTTTATCCAATATCCTGAAAGTATTTAATTTTTATTTCTATCGAATACAATTTCTATAAACTCATTTTGTTTGGATGTTCTTGACAAATTGTTTTTACACTGTTTGTTTGTTTGTTTGTTTATAATCTGATGTTTTTATATTTTACATGTATGATTTTAACATTTTTAGTTTTAATTCTGTTTTAACTTAAAACTAATTTGAAAATTGAAATACATAATTTAATATAAAATTAAAATATTTTACAAAAAAACTGAGAAATCAACAAAATGTGATACTAACAACTTGCAAACCTTTTGTTATAATAATTATTTTAGAATATTTATTGTTTTAATTATCTTATACATTTTTCGTTAAAGTGTAGTTTTTAAAATACAATATTTATTTTTATTCTCGGCTGCAAGTGTACAACGTTAAGGATTGCAAGTTTGAATTTTACTTTTCTGTTTCAAAGGAACAGGAAGGAGTGATTTCACATTTTGAATTTTATTTATTTTTTTATTTATTTTATTGGAGTACGCAAAATAGAAAAATTATAATAAAAAAGTCATTTTATAAATAATTTGCGTACTTATTACGAAATTTATTTATTTACTTTTTTTTTTTAATTTTTTTTATTACATTATTTTTGTTTAATATTTTTTTTTTTAATTTTTTAGTGATTATGAAAGAGAATTTTTTTTTTTATAAATTGTAGAAAAAGGCACAAAACCTTCTCTTCCGCGAGTTAGAAAAAATAAACGGATTAAAAAAAATTTATTTTTGGATTTGAAAATAAGTGAAATCGGATGTTTTTGAATATATAAAAAAATAAAAAAAACTTAAATACATATAAAAACGGATTTATTAATTTATTTTTATAAAAACTTTCATTTTACGCGATTTCCAATTTTTTAATGCATTAATTTTTTTTATTACACTTCTATGCTTATAACTAAATTTTTTGTTTTTTTTTCTCCTTTTTTGTTTACACATTGACACAAAAGAAATGATAATATTTTAATTTTGCTTAAATGTATATTTCAAATTATATTTTTTTTATTGTTTATATGTTTCAACAAAAAGAACGCGAATTACAATTAAAATTTCGATTTCTGTCAAAATGATATAAATAATAAGTATAAAGTTATGTTTTAGTCAAATTTACAGAATTTAGAATTTTATTTAATATCGCAAAATATTTTAAGTGGCTTTTTATTATATTAATGAATGATTTTACGGCACTTATTTTTTTTTTTTAATTTGTGTATATAATATACCTTAGTTATTTTCTTTCTATGTGCCTGCTTTGAACTGTAATTATTTTGTTTGTATATATATATATATATTTTTACCTTTATTAGCAATTGATCGTACAGGATATTTTTTTAACAAATTTCCATATCCCGGTACTACTAAAAAATGGTGCAATTTCAAGACATTTATCAATGCTTTAATTCTTTTAATATAAATTCTAATGCAACGCAAAACTTTATTAACAAATAATTTATTTATATATACAATACAAATTATTATATCATCATCGCCTTTATTATTTATTTGCTTATATATTTTATTTGCTTATATTTTATAAAGTTTATTTTTTTATTATTTTTATTTCAATATATATGACCTTATTATAATCGTAGGCTTATATATTGAAATTTAATTTATTTATTATATTAATTAATTTATTATTCCATTTGAAAAATTGTTGTAATTGCATATCATTTGGGTTTTTTATTTTATTTGTTTTTAATGTTTATATTAGTATACTAAAAAAAATTATTTCCTCCTTCAATAAAAACTGTTTAGTGTTTAGTGTTTAGTTTTGCAATACATATTTATAATAAAGAATTAATGTTGAAAAATAAAGCAAATAATATTTATATCAATTAGTATGTGTATTAAAAAAAAATTTTAATAAAAAATATTTAATATTTTACGTATGCAATTATATACTTATGTGGAGGAAATATTTTTTTTCAAACGAATTATTAACACTTATCAGTTATAATATTTTTATTTTAGCTACATACATATATTTTTTTTGTATTCACATTTTTTGAAATTTTTAAAAAATCAAAATTTAATGCTGCTGTTTTCTGCACAATATTACCTCTGGTTTACACAAATTGTTATATACGTACAATAGAACATACGGATTAATAATTTACATTTAAATATAATAATATAATTTTAAATTTAAATTATAAGTATAAATTGAAACAATATTCACGAATTGATTTATTGTAGTATATATATGTATGTATGTTGTAAAGGCTATAAATATTTTTAAATTTTTTTGTTTCTTTTTGTAAAGCACGCTAAGTTTTTATTTACAATGTTGTAATTGAAATAATAATATTCGCTAGACTGACGGTAAAACCAAGAAAATATATTTTAAATAGAACAATCAACCATAAATACTATAGAAGTTTTGAATAATACAGAGTTGTTATACATTAAATAAGAAATCAAATTAATATACTTTATTTGATATAAATTGTAAAAAAAAACCATTAGAGATAGAAAGGTATCTGTAATTAAATCTAGGTTTATCATTCAGTATTTGAAGAGAAAACTCTCATTTAGAAAGCAAATATTTTTTCGTCATGATAGGAAATCATATTCTTACTAAAAATATAGTAATTAAAAATTTTTTTATATGATGTTTTTAAATTTCAACTAAAGTTGAGAATAATATTATACTAACAATAAACATTTTTTGAGTGAAGTTTATTTTAGTTTTCAATTAAAATTGAGAATAATAATATATATGTGTATAACAACATTAGCAAAATATTTTCAGTTATAAATATCATAAAATTTTTATTATACCTTGTTAGCATAAGATGTATAAGACTTGCATATGAAAATTCATATAAACAAATTTAGATATTTAGCTATAGCTTCAAAGTATTTATGGCATATTATTAAGTGCTTTTATTTACATATATATTAGAGTATATTTCTTTAATGGATCTATATCTTATTATAAATATTATTTTATTATTTTTTATTTAAAGTACTTTTTAACTCTAATTCTGATAACCTAATATCAAACACTTCAGAGCTAATCAAGCAATCTTAAGCAAATCGTAATACACAAAACAATTAACTTGTCAGTCAATAAGTTTTTATATTTTAAGTTCTTATATATGGATTGCTTCATGTTCTTGAAAGAAAAGTACATTTAAAGAGAAATTATAGTAGTTACTTACAAAAATACTTTTACTACTATAATTTAAATACACAATTAAGTTTTTATATACATTTTAATTTACTTCAACAGAATAAAAACAAAAAAAAACAGTTTTCAAATAACAACACAAAATTATCTATAGAAAGAACAAAATCATATATATCATAGTAATAATAAATTTTTTATATACTTTCTTTATAAGAAAATTTTTTATAAAATTAATATATAGTATAGTTAAAAAGAAAACTTCAACATGTGGTAAAAAATTTTAAAAATATTATGGATTTTGAAAAATTAATAAATTTTTTTAAAAATATTTATAACAAATTCATATTTTTGAAATATGGAAAAAACGAAATCAATTAATTGCTTGCACTATAAACTCTTTTAAAATTTTACTATTTTTTTTTTGATCAAAAAACAAATTTATTTATATTGGATATAAAAAGGTAATGCCAATTCTTTTAGATGTGTAGGTGAATTTTAAATTATTGAAATAATTTCTATAACGATTAAATTTTGTTATTAAATTTTTTTTAGGATAGTTACTTCTATTAAATTACTAAGCATGGTGTAAACAAAAAAAAATTTTAAATGAAAAATATTTGTTTAATATTATTTAACAGATAATAATACGGAATAATAACGAATTTATTATTATTGCCCATTAAGATATTTTTTATGTTTCATGTTTCATTCTTCATAACAATATTGGACTAAGAATTCTGATAATCATCTTTAATTGTTTGCTATTAAATTTTTTATTATATTTATATAATTATAATAATAATATATATAAAGATTAACTATTGCTTTTTACATAAAAAATTATATAATGTAATTTATTTTTTAAATAGATATTTGAAAAACAATTAAACCAAGAAAGTTTTATTCAAAAGCAAAATTAAATAAAATAAAAAAAAAATTTGAAAATTTGTTTTTATGTATAGTTGTATTACATCTAGATAAATATAAATTAATGAATGCTATTTGTATTATATAAACTAAATTTTGTATTTAAATTTTTTATTTAAATAAAATATGTATATAGCTAATATTTTATATATTAAAACAGAAATTTAGCATCGTAGAAAAAATTAAAACAAAAAATGTACAAAGTAAAAATGTATTAGTATATTTTATACCTTTTATAGGGAGTTAGTATAGCATGAATTGTTATTCAATATAATATTACACATAATGTAATACTATCTCACCTTTTTTCTCACTTTTTTACTTTTGGCTTGCTCAACGTGTAAGCGGTCTTGTTACCATAGTTACATGATTAAGTATAGATTGATTTTTATCTATCAAACAAGAAAATGTGTTGACTTCATCAAATGCTTCAGTTTTATCTGTAATTGGCTCGATTGTGGTCCAATATTTGCATGTAATAATAGTTTGCTTGGGTTGCCGAAATGTATCCATATTTGTAGTAATTCCTGCAGCATCATCATCTATGTTGTCATTTAAAATATCGTAATTTTGTGTATCTGCGTTATTATTTTGTATTCTATTTTTCTGCTTCGATAGAACGCCACACATTGCCGTATTTAGAATCTTCTGCATATCGATATCATTATCTTCGCCCTCACATTGAAAAACGGTGTTCACAAATAATTCATTTGGTTCTTTGAAACTGAATTTATTCAAATTGCCTAAGTTAGCATTGTTATTATTGCATATTGACATTGCATTCGGAAAATGATGAAATATATTTTGTGAAGCTGAATGTCTACGCTTGCGGTTAGCGTTCTTGAAATTGTTTGGTGAGCTCTTCACATTTGTATTAAAGAACTCTTCCATACGATTTTGTTTTTTTTTACAGTTTTGTTCATCGATCATCTCAGCATGATTTTCACCAACTTTAATGTTATTTTGCGAAATATACAATTGCATTGCTTCGCAATTATTCTCATTTTCAATTTCTAAAACAAAATTTTTCGCATTATCAATAGGTGGTTCAAAAGAATATTTTATTTCAGCAGAAGCATTTTCCATTTGCTGAACTGGAGTTTTTTGTCGCCATAATTCGGCTAAATTGTCATGTTCCCATGTGAGTTTCTTTCCGGCATATGCAGTAAGATCTTCTTTTTGCTCATTTATATGTTTAAACAAATCAATAGGTTTAAATATATCATTATTATCAGCCGGTTGCCAAATATTACGTTCGCTATTGCCATCAAACCATAGACTGCCGCTAAATTGCTTATGCATGCTAGACACAGTGCTTGAGTTTTCTACAGAATCCTTATTAACGCTCATATTATCTGCATGTAGTAAATCAACTATAAGTTGATTAACTTGCTGTAAAACATCATGAGTTTGCATTTGTTCGCCTTTTACAGATTTGTTGAAATCTTCTTTCATTTGCACATCAATGTCATCTTCTTTGAACTCTTCTTGTGTCAGCATGGTTTCTGAATTTATTTTTGATTCGAAAGAGTATGAATTAATTGCAGATTCATCATCATCTATCTCACAATCACTGTTACTTGAAACAGAATTTCTTGCTCTTCCTATGTACAAGTCTTGCATATATTTCAGATCGCTCATTATCTCATCTGCCTCCTCATTAAGTTCATCGCGTAACATGCGGTTAGCCGGAATAGATCTGTATTCATTATTGCAAGCTGCACACATTCCCCAAAGGGTATGTGCATCGTTAATATCAACACCATTTTCATTATTATTAATTCTATTTGGGTTTCCTATAACATTATGTGTTTTTGATCTGCATTGTTTTCCTATTTCGTACATAGACCATTGCTGTGACAATGCGCTACATTGGGAATTCTCATCATGTAAAAGATCACCCGAACAGAAATCAACCTCGTCGCATTCATCATCAATATCTTGTGCATTCTGAGCCACATTCCAAACTGTAGATTGCGGATAGAAGCTACATGTTGCTGAATTGTGTGGAAGCCAATGCCTTTCTAATGGTAAAGAAGAAGATGCCTTAGCTGCAGCAGCAACTGCTCTATTTAAAGCATTAATAGCATCGTAGCAACCGAAATCTGTAGTCGGTAATTTATCTCCTTTCTGAGCTCCAGAAAATATAATATAAAGTGGATGTTGTTCAATGGCTTGTAGATTATTGATATCAATTTGATTCATATCAAATGGATTAGTTTCATTATTTTCGGTTTGACATGCCATATCAGTGGTACGCAAACGAAATTTAAGCACAAATTCACTTTCTTTTTTATTAAAATTACCAGCAAATGCCTTAGCAGCATCACAATTTGAACTTGCATAAAGTGGTGCTGTAGAGGTTGCGGAATTAGTTGTATCTTCTTCAGCCATAAAATTATCACTGCGCGTATATTCCAGATATTTATCATTATCCAAATACAAATATCCACTCGATGAACGCTCATATTCAATAATATCTAAGTCACCAGGTATATCAAACACGTGACCATCGGCAAATGTTTTAATGGGATGAAAGTGTGTGCGTTCTGAAGTCAATAAATTCTCATCATCTGGATAACGCTCATTTGGATGTTCCATTTGCTGTAGACAATTACGATTGCTGGTACTTTCTACAACATTAGTTTTAACAACTGCTTTTACACGTGCGTAGTCCACAAATGCACTAGATTTTGAATGATTTGGTAATGATATATTAGTTTCAGTCACTTTGATTTGATTTTTGGCTGATGCACGATCAAAAGGTGGAATAACTTTTTCATTGCTCTTTTGAAATTCATCACAAATTTCTGTCATTGGATTTGGTTTCCAGGGATCATAACCGGATTCGCGTGATTGCCAATTATATGGCATTGATGTATGCGAATAAGATGGTGGACTAGAATTCACCAAATTAGAATCGGTGCAATCAATATCTTTGTTCATGCTACGAAACGCGTTATTGTTCATCATAGTTTTTGCACCAATGACTGCGTTATTATTGGGTAAATCAAATTGCTGTTGATTTGGTTCTGCATTAATGCCTTCTGACCATTTATAAATACGAGTATTATTATATGGAAACTGAAACGCGTTATCAAGAGTTTTTGGTCCTTCGTTTGCATGTATCTATAAAACATAAATTAAATATTACAATAAAGCAAGAAATTCGAAATTTTTTTTTTTTATTTAAAAAAGAAAAAGAATTTAAATAATAATTACCTTGTTGTCATGAACTCCATCCATCTGACTCCACTTTTTGTTAGAATTCCAAACTTTAAAATAAAAACTCTCATCTGTATCTCCTGTACCAGACTGTGACACTTCAGACCAAATAGTATTTTGTAAAAACATATTAACTGGTGTATTACGATTTTCATTAACTCTTCCAATGAAATCGCGACGAACGCCTCCAACAGATTTATCAAAATTATCTAAATTTGCTGGCATGGAATAGTAATCACTTGTGTTAGCAGCATCGATATTTAAACCTGATGAAGAACCATTAAATGATAAGCTAGTACTACTTTCATCTTTAGTAGAAAAACTAGTGTCAATTGTGGAATTTGATAAGTTCAGTTGTTCAGGAATTCCGCGCATACCAAGGTTTTGATTGTAGTAATTAGACCAGAAATTCTTCAGATTTTCAGTAAAAGGTGCTATGGCAGACAATGATGATGTCTGCATTGGCAAAGGAGGCAATGAAAAAATATTTGAATCAATATCATCTGGTGCAGCATCAGGTTCAATATCATTCCACAATGCTTCAACATTACTATTAAATTTTGCTTTGAATTGTTCAAAATCTGATTGTTCGTCGTTGATTGTACGTGATTTTCCAAGCATATCACGTTGATATAGACGACGTGGTTCTGTTTGCATCGCACCAAGTGAATCAGTAGTAAGTTCAGAAAGTGATGCAAGGGTATCATCAGCATCATCTTCACAACAAAATGATATATCTACGATGGGCATTACAGGAGATGAATTATTTGAAAGTTTCTCTAAAACAATATCCCTATTCTCAAGAGTATTAGATTTAGGTTCTTTACGAGCAATGAAATTATTTTCTGTTTTGTTGACATTTCGCACATTGTATGCGTCACTTTCAGAAGTACTGCGATTACGGTTACCCATGTTTTGTTTGACTAGGAATTCTTTAATTAAATCCCGTCCCATTTCCCAACAACCTTCAAAATCTGTATCCCAATAAGTTGGTGAGGAGTTACGAAAATATTTTCCTCCAATGTTTCCACTAGTGTCACCAACAATAGCACTAGAAGAATTTTTACGTATATTTTGAATCGTTTTACCTTTACACAATGCTATAAATATAAATACAATATCGTTAAGTTTGAATACAATAAATTTTTGAATAAAACGTAAAAAAGATAAAAAATTTTCAATACTACTCGTATTTCTATAATTATTATGTATATTACAACTATTTCCAATTTTACCTTGATTTCTTCGACGTTTTGATTTTCTTTTAGCACCAATAGCAGTTGTTGCCGTAACAATATCGTTTCTAAAGCTTAACGATTTTAATTCTTCATTCGATTTTTTATTTCTATCAAGGTTTTCAGTATCAGTATTCTTATCAAAACCTTTAATAAATCCTCTTGACCCAAAAGATGTAGAAAGAGTTGAACTTGAGCTACTTGAAGATATGGAAGTATTATTTCGATCAACTGGCCAAGTCATGGACTTTGCATTACGACGCCAAATTCGAAAGGAGTCTTCCATTTCCTTCGTGAGAGCAGGAAATGCCCTATAATATCTTTTTTTTGGGTCAGTTTCTATATCGATAGCAACTTCTTTTGCAGCAACTGTATCTAATTCGTGAATTGCTTTGTTGTATTGTTTATTTAAGTGAACGTTATTGCTGTTATGTTCTATTAATAGCTGTTGGTTACTTTGAGATGGTTGGTTTTCGTTAACAACAGATAAAGTTGTAACTAATAACTTATCCACATTTTCTGTACTAGGCGATTGCTTCTCAATATCCTTTAATTTCTCAAACAACTCATCAACAAGAACTTCAATAGTTACAATCTAAAATCAAATTTTAATTTAATTCGTTTTTATGTAAATCTTATAAGTAACTAACTAGGCACTAACCTCATGTTCCGAAGATACAATTTCTCTAAGACATTGAATTGCATTCAATTTCTTTAAAGTATCTGTGTCACACGGTAAATAACGTTTTGTATTTCCCTTACGACTGTTGAAAAATTTCTAAATATAAAAAATTATTATTATTATTATTCAATAACATCCTTAGTATGTATAAAAACATTATTCAATTATATATCATATTTAAAAAAAAAAACAAATTAATTTACTTCTAAATTGCTGAATTCGATTGGATCGTTTATTTGAACAGATGATTGTAAGAGAGATAAAAGAAGCCTAGTATAGATTTGTGGTGCCTCTACGCCTAATTGCTCCAATCGTGATACTAACCAATCAGAGATGGCGTTCACAGCGCGTGTTGATACAAGCTGAGGATACTTCATACCTGGTTTTGGTGAAAACAATAATACATTCAGTTTTGATATTCTAGTGTTTTATTTACGCAGTTATTACACATAATATAATGTATAGTGAAGAATTTCTAATATTTTCAAATAAATTGGTAAAGATGTATAAATTAATTACTTTTATTTTTTAAACAAATTAAAGTATACGTTGCAGAATGAATATTCAGTGCTACTATTTACTACATTGAGGAAACAATTTCAATCAGAAATATCCATTTATTAAAGAATATATATAAATTTGGTCTATATACAATTTAACATTTAAGAAAAAAAAGTAAAAACATTAAATATAAATTTAATATTTAACTACAAATAAAAATTCAGATTGTAGCTTACGAAACAAAAAAAATTTTTGTTTAAGTTCGAAATTGTTTAGATAAAGGATTAGTTCACGAAATATTGAAACACCACGGTTCATTTATTCACAAATTTATTGTTTTCATATCTCATTATATTCTTTTTTCATTATTTTTTTAACTAGCTGTTTGATTTTTAATTCTTTTTCTATATATGGTATACGTACGAGCTAAATTGTGCATTGACTGCTTGCATAAATGGAATAAAGGATTTTGCTATGTAATTGATATGAATTCTTTTTAGTAAGGGAATTTATTTGAACAGAGAAATTTATTTTAGTAGTGTAATTTATATTCAGTGTAATATTTTCAATGTATTATTAAATTGTTTTGGTAAACAATTTTCTTCTTTTCCTACTTGTTTATTTTTTCTAGAAAATCTTCAATCTTTGTTATTGCGGTTCAAAAATTATTTAGATATAATTAAATCCAAAAATTATTCATAAAGACCACTGATAAGGTATTTGGCAATTTTCGAAATAGCTGTATTGACAACAAAAATTCAATAGATTAAAATATAAAATTTTATTTAATTTTCACTACTGTTTAAAACAATTCCATTTTTAAATTTTTTTCGTCATATCTAACTTTAAAAATTAAACTTAAATTTATATTTATGAGTTTTTACTTTTAGTATAATCTGTACAATATAATATTTTTATATTATATTTTAAATTGAAAACTTTAGCGTTAAAAGTATTTACGGGTTCATATTATTGTTGCAAGATCAGCCGAGTTTTTAACTGATTTCAACTATTTTTCTTTAGTAATATTATATATTGTTGTTTAGTGACTTTAAATGATATGGACTATATCGGACAACTAAGTGTTACTGCTCGCCTCTCCAAACAGGGGTTACAACAATAACTGGTAAAACAGTATTTATTAACTAGAATTGATAATTCCATCACACTACGGACACAAATGGATCCATCATATATATGCAAATAATATTGTTAATGCCAAAATTTATTGTAAACTTCATTTTTGTGCAATGTTTCATATGTGGCATTAAAAAAGTGTACGTGTAAGTTAATATCTTGCAAGTATTCATAAGTAGGGTCAAGAAAGACCCACTAATCACTGTTGTGTGGACTAAGTACATATATATGTTATATATTTTAATTTGACACCTATATTGCAACTTAACAATTCCTATTTTTTATAGTCAATTTTAAGAATTTGTAGCACTGAATTCATGTCAAGATTTTAAATAATTTTAATATTTTCTTGATATTTACTGCCAGCTACTACATTTATATTTATAAACGTGCGAAAAAAACAAAAACAAAAAAAAATTAATATAATTTTGAGGTCCACTGCAATTTACTATAAACGAAATTTTAGCTTTAAGAACGCCAAATTTAGTAACTAAAACTAAACAACTCTCAACTTACAATCAATATACTATACACATAAAAGAACAATCAGTAACGAACCAACAATTTAGACATTTTACTTAAAAATTAATATAATTAAATAACAAAAATATAAATGTATATTTAATGTAAATGCTAAAATTTATACAAACAATGTCAATTATCAATTATGCTTATATTCTATTTAAGGATTCGAATAAAACAAGAGCAAAATTGTTTAGTTGTTGAGATAATTATTTAGTATTTTTATATAAAATAAATAATAATTTGGAAAAAATAAAATAGCATTGGACCTTTAAATTTTTTTTTGGTGCTATTATGCATCATTTTCATAACACCGCACATATGTAACTTAAATAAAAATAAAATCAATCGCATACAATCGCATTTATATAGAAACATAAATATCAAATGATTTTAACATAACACTTACCGTTCACTTAATTTTTGCAACAGGATATCGGGTCATTCAGTTATAAAGAAACCAATTTCTATGAAACTGGGCAGTAACTGATAACTGCTGTTGGTGCTCTTTTTTCCGGTTATGTTGACACTACCGCGGATAAGACTTTCTAAGCTGTGGTGCTTATTATATATGTTGTAATTTACAGCGTCAGCAATATTCTTTGGTGCAGGTGTTGCTAATATGCTGTTTAGTATATCAACTAGTTTATTAGGTTGATAGATATAATTTAGCGACTTGCATCTGAAATGACGGACAAGAAGCTTTCGATGATGGTAAAATATGTTTTTACTAATAGCAACGTTGGTTCTTGTAAATTTAGGCATGTTTAAGATGTGCACTTATAACAGCTGTAAGATTTGACCACAACATTAAGTTGGGAGAAACATTTTCATATGTTGCCAACATTTTTGGTATATACTTCTCAATTTTTTTTGCTTGTATTATCTAAACAAATTTCTTTGGCTTCAGAATTGAATGCTTGTTTTATATATGTATATAACTTGGGTTGGATCTTACTATTTTCGATAGTTTAAGCAATTTTTAAAATTTTGCTTTATAATTATTTATTTTCCAAAACTATTTGCAATTTTAACTTCTTTTTAAATTAAATAGTTGTAGATGTTTAATTTATATCTTTTAAATTATATGTTGGGATTTTTATTACATTTAAAGTAATTCGCTATATATTGGTTATAGTGTAAACTGAAAAATATTTATGTTGACGTATTGTACTTCAATTTATTTAATTATTGAGTGTTTTCTTCTCGTTTGTGTTTAATTGTTCCAAAAAAAGTTTTTCTACGTTTTATTAAAAAATTTGTTGATGTAATTTGTTCCGTTGCCTGTTGGTTTTTTTTTTAATCGTAATAAATAAATTCAAAATTTATTTATTTTAGTGTTGTACGTTGTTTAACAGTGTTTATTTGTTTTGTTGTTTTTGTTGATTGACTAAAACATTTAGTTGCTAAGAACTAAAGTGTTTGACGATTGCATTATCCGGGAGTGTTGATTAGTGGTCGTCGTTTGTAGAAGTGAGTGATATCGGTTTATTAATGGTATTATCTTTTTTAGAAATCCATTTTGTATTGTTTGGAGTCAGTGTTATGGAACTGAATTCTCTTTGGAATTATTCCACACTTGCATTTATTATTTAGTTTCCTAAAAATAAAAAAAATAAATTAATAATTAGATATTAATATATTTTGGAATAGTTTTATATTAAATATTATATTCGTACTTTATATAAATATGTAAAAAAGAAATATAAAAAGTATTACGGACTTTCTTTTAAATTCATTAAAAAAAAAACTACACAAGCAGATCTTTGCGGACTAAAACAACAACAACGTCCCAAAATCGATCTGATGTATAGAAGTCAAATCGTCATTCACGGAAGCAACGAATACAGCGTCCGATGGATTTATCCACAACAAGAGCATTAGAAAATATAAAACAGTTATCAAAGAAACAAATCCGCTTATAGAAGCTAAAAATAAAAAATGGAAGAATACAGCCTAACTTTTACGAATGACTTAATATCTGGGATCAACTATAAACTGGTATAATAATGTTAGCAATTAAATAGATTAAAGACTAATTCCCCCAAATGGCTTAACTAAGCACCTAAACAATCAGTATTTGCATTGATATATAATTGTCAAGCTTTATCAAACACTAATCGTTATGTTCCTAGCGCACGTCGGTGATACTTAGACTGAGTTATATGAACGTCCTTCAAAAGAAAAGATTTTAGCAGAACATATAACACCACCAAATTCAAACGGATTTTAGAGTTGCTTATGGTTATAAAACTATGAATTAAAAGGCTTGTATAAAAAAAGTAATACGATATTTTTTTTTTGATTATTATTTGAAACAAATTAACATATTTGAAACAAATTAACCTATTTTTGTTCAGACACCTCTCTTGAACGAATGAAAGTTGCCGCCTGCTGTTATATGTATGTGCCATCTTATTTTGATTAAATATAATTTTTGTACTTATTATGGAGAAATCATATGATTTCAATCGATTTTTTGAAATAATTAATAAAAAAAAAATTAATTAAAGGCAACTACTAGCAGAAAATATTTTTAATTAACTATTAGTAAACATATATTAATAATGTCTAGTTCTTAAAGAATGACTTGAAAAAATTTTTAAGTTAATATTTTAAATTTAAGAATAATGTATTTATCTTATCATGTTATTTTTAAAAAATAAATGACAAAATAAGTATATTTCTTTTAATTTTTTGAACAATTTTGTAGAAGAAAATTGTTTTTGTTAAAAACGCGTTAAATTAGATTTCTATTCCATGTATGTATGTTTATTGCTTCTAAATATGTGCAAAAATAATTTATAAATTCTTATATATTTGCATATGTATATAAAACTATGTACATATATATACATATTTGTTGTGTAGTAGATTTATTTGATTATGTGACTTCACTCACTTAGTTTAAGAAGTAAATTTTAAAAGTTTGTTTAAAAAATTTTAAATATATTTACTTTTGTTAGTTTTGATTTATTATATTTTAAAGAATATTAAACTGTACGTGATGCTTGAGGCATTTGTTCTATTGTAGAACTGCACCTTTCGAGGTTCTTTTTTTGTTATGAATGAAAATGAATTTGATTTACAACTACTACATGAGGAGCTCTCAACTACTTAATTGGGTCGCATATAGTTTGCAAATTATTTAATTGAAAAACATAAAAAATTTAATATAGATAGAATGAGTAGTAGAAAATAAAACTATTGAAAAAGCATATGCAAAAATTATTCAATGTGTAATAGGTATACAAATCCCACAACACTTGAAGAGAATAAACGCGAAATGTGTGATTCATGAATGAATTCATCGATTGCAGCAGGTTTCGTTTTTATTTTTGTTTTATTCTATATAAACTGTTATTGTATAGAACTAAAAGCAAAATTGGCTTTACCACTTGAAAATAATAGATAAGCAAGTACAGATAGCTAAATATAATTTCATGTACATACTAATGTGTAAATATTTACCGGCTAGAAAGTTTTATATTATTAATAGGAAATACAAACACATGATTTTAAAAATTATTTTAGCCACTAACTATAAAAACAATATATACGTATGTACATACGTTTAAGTATAAGTTATATATTACATAAAATATATTAAAGTAGCAATTTAATTATATTAATGTTGACCACGGCACAAAAGAAAAAGTTTTATAGATTTTTATCAGGCTGTACCCCACCCATTTTCAACACACAGCACGTGTTTCTACGCCACATTTATAAAGGTCAAATAAGGTGCATCTTTTACAGTAGTCAAGTCAATATTTAGGTCATAACCTATATAAACTTAATATATAAGTTATTTGATTTATGTATATTTAAACACATAATATATTAAAACTTTTCATATTATATATAAATGAAAATAGTTAACTTTTTTTTTCATATGTTAGCACTAAACACTGCACACAAATCAACATTTTTACTTCATAACTTGTTTATTTTTACTGAATTCTTCACCAACAAATTATAAACAAAATTTATTTACATACATTTGAGTAGTGATGTGGAAGTACCGAAGCACCGATTAATAAATATACAACAAAGAGAGCTTACAAGGTAATTTGCAAACTACAAAAACAAAAACAAAAAAAAACAACAACTAAAGCAAATAGTGCAGCAAACGAATAACATAGTTACATGCGCTCTGCCTATACATACACACATTACTTTGAACGGAAATTTATACATATATATGTCATATACACGTAGTTGTGTATTTTACGCAGCACTGCGTATATAACGTAAAAACAATGAGAAAAAATTACATTTCTTCTATTGCAAAAAAAAAATCTGTTTCAATAATTTTGCTTCACTTTTTGATTGCAATTATATAATATTAAATTACAACATTTAATTATTTTTATAACTCAGTTTTTATTCTATTTTTCTAAGTTGCATATTTTAAATATGCAACTCTAATGACAAAAGTAAAATTTTATTAAATCGTTTTTTCTTTCTTTCAATATTTTGACATTTTTACGTACATTTTCGTTTTCGTTTATTCGTAGTATTTGTGTGTTCGATTTTCTTATTTCGTTTTGACTAGTGCCTAATTTCTAAGGTTATGATGTGTGTTTTAATTGATTTTTAAATACTTTCATTAAATTTTTTATATGTATTGATCTCGTTACATACACAAACATCACGCATGATGACAGAAAATATTTTTATTTTCTTGGTTTCGTTTTAAAATTAATACATGTTTTCTTCGAAATGTTAACGTTGAACGTTTAAAATTATAAATAATTTCTTAAACAATATAATTATTTTTTTTTATTCAGCCGTGCCCGTGCGCGGTTTAAATAACACAAAATATAATTAAGAGAAGTAAATCTGTTCACTTCTCAAGAGAAACTGAACAATAAAGTGAAGTCGAATTTTCATTTCAGTAGTAGAATTACCAAAGTTAAAAGTATAAAACAAAGCATAGATACAATTTTCACTTCCTCTCGCTCTCTCGCTAGTTATAGTGTGTGTTATCGTTTGAACATATTTTGTATTTCTCACTTTCTCTTTCTTGCAAATATGTCTGAATGCATTCATTCGGTGTTGCTTAGTACAGAGTACAAATTTTGCTAGAGTAACGTGTATTCGAGGAAACAGACATTTGTTTTGTTTTTACAGATGTTTTTACTTTACAAAGTTATTTTTTAAATATTTTTTATTTTTTTTTTGTTTTCACAGCAACACCAAACAAATCATTAAATAAATTAAATTAATATGAGAGGAATAAAATAATTTATGTATTTCATTTAAATTATGAATTTATTTTACAAAAATATCTATATAAAATATGGAAGCGTAATTAAAAGATATATACATTATTTATTATAGTAATATATAAAGTAGATATCTTAAAAATTGTATCTCGTATACATATTAAAATTACTTTCATGTATTAATTTACACATAGCTGCTGTCTGACGTACTGTGTATTGTATTGTTTGTGAAAAGAAAAAACAATTGCTAGGTAAATGTATATAATTCGCATACCCTACACCAAGTCTTCGCGTGTTAATATCATGAATTTATAAAAGAAATATAGCTAAATATAGTGAAAGTCGAAATCATTTTTTTAAATCGTTTATCTTTAAATTAGTAAAGATAAATTTATGCTTATAAAAGTAAACAAACAAAATTATTGGAAGTATGAGATATATCGACACTAGGTCCTATGATAAAAAGATCATGCAAAATAGGGATTAATTGATGGCTTAGAAAAAATAAATTTTAGCAACTTGAAAGAAAAATAAAATAGTGGATAGTTGTGCAGGCTTAAATACTTCAATGACTATTATGCTTAGGATAAAGAACACAATTTTATGAATAGACAATAGACAGATTGAATTTTATAAATAAATCGTCTAAGACAACCAAATTTGCAAGAAAGGGTAATCAAGTAAGCTTTCTCGAATCCACGCTAGGGTCTGCTTGACCATCTCCATAATATTAATAAGAATTAGTGGATAAAGTAAAATAACAAATTATATAGAGTTTCTACTATGTAAACTCCAGAATTTAATTGATTTTTTTCTTAACAACATTGATTTCATTTATATATATACGAATAAATTATTTATATATTCTTGTTTGTCACTTGATTTGAGAATTTTTTTGATTAAAAGTTCAGTTTTTTAATTGACAAATTTTTGTATATTCCTATATGTATTTCGGCAAATTCGCTTTAACCTTCATCAGGAGACTTCCTAATATTAAATGGTTACTTTTTTATAAAGCATTTTTAATTTAGATAAATAAAGTATAAGAAAGTCCTCAATAAACTATAAACATTTTTTGGTACCGTTACTTCAATGAAAAGATCAACTGTTTAATAGTCAATCGGCTACATTGCTGAATGCTAGTATTGTGAACAGAGATGGGTGGAGGAACAACGCCTGCCATATACTTGAACTGAATTTAATTAAACCTGGACAGTGACATAACAGTTATGCATGATCAATAGAAGTTGTGTTGACATGGATCCACCAGTCTAGTTCTTTGACATCATATAACCGAGTGTTCCATAAAACCTGCTTTTTTTTACTGTTTTTAACACAAAAATATTGACGTTTTCTTCATAAACAAAACAATACGACCTGCGCTTAACAGAAACTAACTTTTTTTTCCTATCAATATATGACTTGCAATAAGTTAGATACAGACACGAAGCTAAAGAGGTGAGGCCCACTTGAAGAGCTGTAGTCCTCAAAAATTAACTGATAGACTTTATGTACACAAATATAAAAGCAAAGTAATTACTTTTTCTTGAATCAATTAATCAATTCTTTTAATTAGAGATTATTTTTATAATTATTCAGTTTTTAATTTGCAACGCCACTCCGTCACAAATACGGACTTGATTGGGTAAATAAATTTTGTTTAAAATGATAAGGACACTAAATATAATTGGCGTTCAGTGAAAATAAAAAGAACTAAGTATGCGATAAGTAACTGAATTTACTTGTTAAGAAGTCCTAAAATAAAAAGTCAATGTTATACATAAAAGATAGGACAAAATATTCTTATATTTCTAAAGCGTTAAACAAACTGGTAATCACAACATATCAAGCATGTTTACAAGTACGGGTATCATAAATCGTTTTGTTAGCACAAACAAAAGATATAATTTAAGGTATTTAGAGTGCACCCATGAATTCCCAAATAAACGAGCGCATATGCGTAGTCTATTGTAATAAATGGAAATTCCGCGAAAGATTTAATTTTCAAGTATTTTAAAATAATAAAATAATCTGTACGGAAAATTTTTAATCACAAAATTTTTGTCTTCACAAAAATATTCTTAGAAAAATATGTATTTAGATATTAGGTAAAAGAAAATATGCATTTCTTCTTTCTTTGTGAATAATATTTCCATTGTTTTCAGTTTGTTTGCATGCGTTATACTAGGCCACCTCACAAATATCGATCTGAAGTACAATATTTTATGAGTATCTTGTTTAAACACTCCGATTTAATGAGCGCGATTTTTGAGTTTACTTATTCTTTTTCGTTTTCATTATCATTATTTCATTGCAATTTTACTAGTGCCACTATAAGTGCTATTAATAAGTATATCTGTGGAAAATAAATACGTGAAAAATATTACAGATATGAAAAATTATGTTACCTACTTTAAGCGACTACATACATGCATACATAAACTATTAGCAGCACTACGAATGCAAAAATACATACAACCCTTTGTACGTATTATGTTTTAGATACATTTATTTGTATGTTGGTAGATAGTAATATATCGGTTTGCAGTTTGTTTATGTGCTGAAGCATGTCGTCATCGTCAAGGTCGTCGTGGTTTTTTACTACGTTTTGCTAGTATTTTTCATAGTTTTTTGTTGGTTTAAATTTCATAAAATATATCTACTAATTCGTACTTGGAAACTTTTTTTTTCATCATTGTCGTACGCATATATTTCCTTTTTTACTACATAATAATTTCAGAGAGTAGGCACATATGAGCAATTATTAAAATGCATATTTCTCACTTCTTTATCTTAATTTCAATCAATTGATTAGTATTCAATAAATAAAAAGAAATTAAAAAAAAAATTTTTTTTTAATTTTTTGAAGCTTAGGCTGCACCTAGACATTTACACTATATAAAAATTTTGAAATAACTATATTTTTAAATGGCTGCTATAATACGCTAGATTAAGTTGTTTTTTTGATTGCTCATAAGTCAGGCCACAAACTTTTTAATTTCGAACGATACCAGGTGGAGTTAGACCTCTATGTAGATTTTGAAGTATACAGCTTTGCCAATTGAAGTAGTGCTAGGCCATAGACTTTTTAATCTCGAACGATACCAGGTGGAGTTAGACCTCTAAGTAGATTTTGAAGTATACAACTTTGCCAATTAAAGTAGTGCTTGATGCTTACCTCTGAGGCAGAGAAACTAAGTATTTTTTTTTAATCTATTCTATTCCATTCTTATGCCAGACACTTTAGTGCGATTTAAAACCATATGCCATAATAAACAGGGTCTACTGACACGCATAGTTTTATCAGTATAGTTTCAGATAAGTAAATAAATTTTTGTAAATAATAATAAACTAACACAATAAAAAAAATAATAAATTATAATAGAATATTTATATATGTGTGGTTTACACGTTATTTCTAAAAATAATACAAGAAGAATATTGTTGAAGAACTTTTTAAAACTGTGGTAATTAATAAATCTATACTGATTTGAATTACTACAATAGCATAAAAGCATATATTGCAGTTGTTATGGGTAAAGTCGAAAATCTTTCCACTTTTTGTTATTCTAGACAAAGTAAAGAATGATATAAGGCATTTAAGCTTATATATATAACTAAATTAAGAAGGTAGTAAAACGCTAGTAAAGAACAAAACTAACTCTAAAAACCTAATGTTATTCAGGCAACTCATTCGATTAATAACTAAAACGGTAGATTTCTCATTCTAAATAAATCTAAACTCACATTAATTAGCGGTTTCTTAACTGGACATGTTCTTTCGTAAATACCACTTACAAAGTTAAACTTCCGCCCACTTATTTTTTTTCCACTTCTACTTTTGGTTTGGGTCCTACAATTGCCAAGAATACGTGAGCAATACCTCCATTTAATTTTCATTGAACCAAATAGTTCTAGAACTAAGAGACACTACTCGGTTTATTCAGGTTATTTTGGAAGACCCTCTCAAGGGATAGTACAATTGAACTTTTAGATCGCATTCTCCCAAGTAGTTCTAGAACTAAGAGACACCACTCGGTTTATTCAGATTAACTTGGAAGACGCTCTCAAGGGATAGTACAATGGAACTTTTAGGTCACATTCTCCCTTGTAATTATAATAATAGTATATATGATATATATAACAGAAATGTTACAGATTATTCAATAAAATGAATTATGCAGGCGTTATATAAAATAGTAGATTTTAACACTCTTTTCTTATAAACATATATATTAAAATTTAATTCTAAATTTTTACCACTTATAATGTTAAGTAAATGTAGATTTTAAAAATATAAAGTGATATAAAATAACTGAATAAAACTAGATTAAGTAAGAATGCTGTGCAGAAAGAGAAACTGAAAGAAAGAAAATCAAATCTAAAAGTAGAAAGAAAAAAGTAAAGAAAAACGAAAGAGTGTAGAAAAAAAAGGACAAAACAGGAAAATTACAATGACGGATAGTAGCAGTGAGAGATACAGATATGTAAAGAAACAGAAGTAAGTAGACTTATGATAAGAGAAATGTGGGTGGGAAAGAGATTTAGAGCTAAATATTAACAAAGAAATTATAAACACAAGATCATGGTAATATTATTTTATC